AATATCCCAAAATTTTGACTTTAAATCTCACAATTATTCTGAGAAAAAAATCTGAATTGCAAGATGAAAAGTAATTACATTGTTTTATTTTTTATTCAGTGGCAAAAATGAGCTTCCATAAGAAACAGTTATTTTAAATTGTAATAATATTTTACAATATTACTGTTTTTACTCTATATTTGATCAAATAAATGCAGCCTTGGTGAGCATAAGAGACTTTCAAAAAACATTTAAAATCTTACCGACCACATTATTTTGAACAGTGGTGTATACATTTACCTCAGGCATAATGGTAGACATTTTTTCCCATTGTTTTTGGAAACTTTACACTTATTCACCCTCATATTCATGACTTTTAATGAAATATTCTTTTTGACATAGATTTTCGGTGTCAAAAATTTATGAAAGGGACATGGAAACTTTAAAACTTTGAAGTACCTGTCCTGTACTAGCACTATACAGTGAAATGTATGTAAGGCTTGGTAGTGGAAGTCAAATCTTTCTTCTGAAGTATGTCTCACTGTCCTTAAAGCCCCTGTATCTGTCATTTGTATCTCTATGAAATAAAGAACAGGAGATGAAACTGAATAATACTGCAGACACCTGCTCTTATTATGAATGGTCTCGATCCTTCTCTTCATTTCCCAAGATAACGTTCAGACGTACCTGAATAATGCATGCAAAAGCACGCATGTCACAAAGATATTAACTAGTGCCGCTAAACAATAGATATCATATTTCAGTCGCCATCAGGAGTCTCTAAAGCCGAGCTGCTAAAACATTTTCATCACACAAGCAACGCAAGTCAATCTAGATTGTTTTAACTCAAGAATAACAAACCATGAATTTGTCATGTGATTTCATTGTCTAGGACAATGAAAACGGAAATATCTATTTCCACTTCGCCTCTATCCAGATGAATTGTGTCTCAGTTATTTCAGATAAGCACAATTGATGGGTCCACCTGAATATAGCAGAGTTGCTAAATGAGAAACATAAATCTGTGTGCCAGTGTGTAGAATGCTCTTCATTGTTACCATGTCTCTTCCTCCCATTATTGATTGCCATAATGAATACTTGGATTCCGGCTTACTTTAATTACACCAATGCCGAATTTTGTCCTATGAATAAAACCAGCCAGCTCCATTAAGAAATCGATGGCAGGCTTCACTTGATATCGTCATTAGCGAGCTTTTATCATAACGGCGAAGAGATAAAGTATGACACCACAGTTCTCTTTCATCAAGTTCAATATCATAAGAAACATTTCTTAGAAATTCAAGAATTAATCATTTTATCATGAATCTAACTACAATGAGAAATGTATTATCCTCAGTACAGCCCACACAAAGATGATAAAGCATAGGACACATCAGATGCTTTTTCCTTCTTTTTTAATTCAATATTTTTATCTTCATCCAATATCTTTAACAGTTTGGGGAGGATGTTTTCTGGTGTGGACGAACTTGACTGCTCTTCACAAACCCCACACCTGAACAGCTTTGGGATGAATTGGAACAGCAACTGTGAGCCAGATCCCATTAGCCAACATTGGCGCCTGACCTCGCTGATGTGGTTATTAAAGCAGCACTATGTAACTTTTGGCGCTCTAGCGGTTAATAAACAGAACTGCACACATCCCGCGGAAGAACATTCCAACCGGAGATACTTCTCTAAGCTTATTTCTATGGCGATTCACGCAGTTATGTGTTACTCCGCAGCGGTGAAACATTCCACAGGCCACAATCAACAACCTGATCAACTCTATGCGAAGGAGATGTGTTGCACTGCGTGAGGCAAATGGTGGTCACACCTGATACTGACTGGTTTTCGGACCCCCCCAATACAGTAAAACTGCACATTTTAGAGTGGCCTTTTCTTGTGGCCAGCCTAAGGCACACCTGTGCAATAATCATGTTGTCTAATCAGCATCTTGATATGCCTCACCTGTGAGGTGGATGGATTATCTTGGCAAAGGAGAAGTGCTCACTAACACAGATTTAGACAGATTTGTTAACAATATTTGAGAGAAATAGGCCTTTTGTGTACATAGAAAAAGTCTTAGATCTTTGAGTTCAGCTCATGAAAAATGGGGGAAAAAACAAAAGTGTTGCGTTTATAATTTTGTTCAGTGTATGTTCTAACATCTCATGGAAAATGTCCCTGAGGAGTGGAAGCTCTTTCTGGAGAACAAACTCACTATCTACTCCCTTGATTTAAAACAACCAACAATATAAACCTAACAACTAAAAGAGTGACCAGGAAATTTTAATTTTGAATGCTTGAAAAAACGTTGAACTGATTTAATTTCAGGTTGGGTAAGTGGTTAGATGCCTCCTGGGGCAAGATGACCCTCACCCCCAACCTTAATTTGATTCTCGACCATAGATGGCACAAAATCTCATTTCGGTACATTTGATGAATGTCTATGTTATTTTTAATTTGATCATTCCACATGAATATTGACACGTGTGACATTTAGTCGGTTCTGAGGTAAATTGATCAAAGGTCAATTGATCAAATATCCACATGTGTGACATTTAGTCGGTTTTGAGGTCAATTGATCAAATTTTGTGTCTCATAGTGATCTATGACATTGTATTATTTTGAATATCACATTTTTTTGTGTGTCTGCTAATGAGGGATGTATGGATGTTAATGTTTTTAAATTTGTGGAGTAAAAAATTTAAACTTTAATTTAAAGTAAAAACATAAAATTAGACTTGGGGTATGATGAATTGTCACAGATGAATTATTCAATGCTTATTGTAATTCATGGGGCCATTATTCAGTATTTCCATGAATTAGATGTGCATTTTAGACGTACTTGCTTTTCATTAAAACCTACAGGCTAATTAAGGGAAATCATTCAATTTGCATTTATAGTGTTGCTATTATGACACATCTTCAATTCAAATCTGGTCAGTTAAATATGTAAATATTCTTGGCCTCTTTGAATTTTACATTTTGTGCTATTACAACTAAAATAGCAAATGTTCTATTTATTTTTTACAATTAATACACATTGTCTGATGTATCATTCTTAAAGTGGCCAAAATCTTACCATATAGTCCTTTATGCAATATGCTATGCATAGTGTAATTGCCATTACAGAATTATTAGATGCAAGGTCCTGTACTTGATTTTAAAACATCTTCATATAATATTTCTGTTCCGAGTACAGAAACTAACCACCAAAACACACACGCATTTTGCAGATGTGACCGTGTTTTCAAGGGAAGTACATTAAACCCATGGAAATGATCAAGAATCATTGTCAATTCAAGAAATGTACCCATGGGAAATAGGAAATGAAGGAGCTTTGCACTCAGCATGGAATCGTGCCTTCATTTGGAATTGGCTTTGTTACCTCATTAAAAGGATTTAAAGGATTTTACCCTGATAATGTCACCCTAGTTTAAGACTTATTGTCTTAAACACAATCCCGTACAAAAAGATGTGGGAATTATGTGCAGCATCAGTGCCACGTGCATGTCGGAATAAATTAGACACGGAAAGGTTTTGTAATGGCCACCCAGAACATGTATCATGGAAATGCATTCACTGCAGTCTTTGCATGCAGGTTTAAAATAGCTTCAAATTATAATGAACACTGATAGCAAGAGTGAATATTATCCTTGCTGACTTCACTGCTGCCAACATTGAGACCTGAAAACCTCAAATTCAGCTTACTGATTCACATCTCAAACTGTCCAGCTTCTGACACTCCGGTCCAAGCACAAAGCAAGAAATGTCACTCAAACCAAAAGCTAGAATTTAATGAAGCAGTGAAGTATAGAGAGAAACAGGAATCCTGTTTGAAATGGAAATAAAATGTCTTTATTTTATATTGATTTGCTTTTTATATAAAAAGTACTTACATTGAATACATTTTTTCCAAAATACAAGCAGCCAAACGACATATAAATCAAATACAAAATTATAAAATCTGTTGTATCTTAGTAGCATCCCTTCTGAAAGTAACCTGTAACGTGATTTAATTCATAATCTCTAAAATTCCCATGTAACAGTAAGTTTGATTCTCTCCGGTATCCACGACATGTCAAGAGCGCTCTGTGACCTATACATGATATCTTGTCCTAGGTCTATTGTCTAACAGTGAGGAAGTCAATTTTGTCAGCTTTAATTTGCTTGATGAAGCCGTGTAGTTGTATTGCTGAGCTCAAATGTAGCTTTAAGCAGGCAAAGTAGCAGAAAAGTAGCTTTTTCTTCCACAGTCTTCTTTCAAACCACCAGACTGTAGTTTAATGACCATCAAACTGACATCAGCTCTGCAAGAATATCGTCAAGCCGTAGACCAGACTGCACTTGGTCAATATTTCTATTCAGCACTGAGCTATCCCAGCATGCCACATGGTTGGGGTTCATAAGCATGGTTTATAATTGCAGCATTTTTCTGGGTGGTGAAAATGAAAAATCACATTAGGAAGCAAAAGTAAACAACACTGGATAGATATAAACTCAATTCTTCAATGAGAACTGACTGAAGTCAAGCGGTTGACTTGTGTAGCCCTATGTTGTGGAAGAAAGCGGGGAAAATAAAGAAGAAAATGTTACATGAATATAACAAAAACCCTTATAGTGGCACAAATATGGCATTTCTAGCATAACTAAATATGGTAAATGAGGTTAATAGTATAAGGAAATGAAAACTTTCACAGTGTAATGTGAAGTAAACACTAGAAAGAAAAAAGGCAAAGCTGTCATGACGCCCCAAGGCAATGGACTTAAAATTTAGGAAGAAATTAACACACCAATTAAAAAACAACAACGATTTTGCTATTGTAGTTTTGTTAACTGTCCACAATGTGCAAATGAGCAGTTGTGTATCACATGTGCAGTACAACAAAAACGCTAAAAAAATAAATGGACAAGTATGTCTCCAAATATCGCAACAGATATGAAGGCGCAATGCTGATGGTACCAAGAAACCAAATATAAACAAGATATCTGGAACCTGATAGGAAATAGAAAAATTGTTGTTTTCCTCGTGTTTTATACATTTTGTACATTTAAGTAAAAAAAGAGTACAAAGTGTAGTCAGGCTATGCGGCGGTTTCTCGAATCGTCCCCTCAAGTTTCTTTGGGAGTAGCTCTCTCCTTTCGTCAATGTTGATGACTGGTTTGCGACAGTTCTGACCATCGAGGTACATCTTCGCATACATCGGATTGGAGTAGTTAATTGGCTGTTTGGAGAGAAAATTGTGGAAAATTGACATTCATACTCTCTTTAAAAAATCGTCAGAATTCATATTAAAGGAAAACATAATGAATAAAAATAAATTGTTTTACAATGAATTTCAATTAATGAAATAATACTACAAAAATGAAATAAGTTGAAAACAAATTGTGCAGGATTTCAGAAAGTTGGTTCAAGGAGTTGCTCCCACTGCAGCCGGAGTCAAATGTGGTTTCTGTAGCATCATTTGGATTTGGATACGCTTTGAAAAGCGTATTTAATCATGCTTATAGTGACATGCCCATGTCAGCAAAGGATGATTAATATTTTATAACTGTCACTCACAACCCCATCAACCTCACCACCTGCATAAATCAACCACTAAAAACGAGAAACGTAAAACAAAACAGCAGAAGTTGAGCTATAAAGCCATGCAATCACAGTGACACATGCAAACTGCACACAACACATGCATGCAAAAATGTCATTTAGAATGACTGTGATACTCAAGTCAAATAATTGAGACAAAGGAGCCCAAGGTGTTCACCTGTCCAGGTATTACTTCCTTTGGGACAGAGTGAATATTCAGCGTGCAAGGGTCACTGGATTTTACACACCAGCCCTGGAACACACACAGTTGCCCCAGCATGCAGTCGACATTTAGAACGTCATTGTCACTAAACAACATCTATGTAAACGCTGCTATTAAGACAAATTTAGACAGAAACATGTACATAGCATGAAACAAACAGTCAGGACAAAGCAGTATTGTTACTGGCAATATAGCATTGCATGTAAGAGGCATTAGACTTTAGAAACAGATGTCAGAGTTATTTCTGTGCAAGGGTAAAAAAATATAATGTTTGCAGCTTTAATGAGGCAAATTCTCAAGGTAAAAGAAATCGCAGGAGCAGTGAATATTTTTCATTGGGTGGGAGGATGCAGGCAAAAGATAAAGCCCTGGTGTAAAGCTATAGTTAATATTACATATTTACACTTGTCATTTATTCAACAGATATTTTACAGGAGAGAAAAGAAACATGTTCTTTCTGGATCTACCACATTGATATTTATGGATCTACATCATCAACCTCAGACATTTCTTGTATTAAGGGTGTTAAAAAATGCCAAACACAAACCTTGTGGGGATCAAGTGTGAAATTTGGTTTGAGAAGGCTTCCGGCATCTGCGTGGTTGTCATGGTCCACCTCATACATGTTGTAGGATGGATTGCCTATCTCCACATTAATGCCTCCATTAGTTATGGGCTGCCGTTGTACACGTTTCCCCCTGCGACAGAGATGCACTTGAAATAGCTGCAGATGTCTGGAGACTCTGTTTGTTTTTATGGGCTGTGCATTTTTGAACATGCATTCAAAATACAAAGTGGCTTACTACTAAGGCTGTCAAATTAACATGATTACAATGACACTCAAAGGCACATCAGGCGAAAAACAACTGCAAGGGGCGATGCAACAGAAAAAAAATGCATCGGTCTGTATGCATATACAACATTAAATTTTTTGTCTATTTTGTGTATTTAATACTTTCATCATCATTTCAAATAAATCATTTCTTATATATAATAAATAATAAAATAAATTAAATTCAAGATAAAATAAATAAATAATATATATGTTTGATTTAATTAAAATCATATAGATTTAATAATAATAAAAAAATATATATTATTAGATAAATTATTAAATAAATCAATTATTGCACAAAAAAAGTTCCAAAAAGTACCTTTGTCGTCTTCTGCAGATGCACACACCTGTAACCACCGAAGCAATCAAAATGACCAGCAGGACCAATGGCACAATGATAGCTATACTTCCTGTTTCACACAAGAAAAAAGCCAGAAGCAAAAGCTACTATTAAGTCTATTTCCCCAGGTGTCTATGCAGGTGGAACAGGAAATTATTAGATACTCCATCAAAGCGAAATTAAATAAACACTACTGCAGCTGAAAAGATATTAAACCAATATTTAACACGAAGCCCAGATGTATATTCAGATGTTGTTTGACTGATGAAATAACGGATCTTTTCATTTTAATAATTCAAGGACTGAATCCTTATTGAATTAGTAGAGGAGAGCTCTTTATAAAGCGTCAAAGCTCTCTTCGTTGCTCACCTCCAGCTGTGTTATCGGAGCGGCTGCTCTTGGGGGCCGGCCTCTCGCACTGCGTCCCCGACCAATTAGCTGAGCATCTGATTTAAAACAACAGAGGCAAAACAAACAGAAGGCAAGTAAGAAAAAAGAACAAACGGCTGACAGTTTCAAACAGTTTTTCAGGGGAGTTTCAACAGACACAGGCCTAAATTCTACTTAAAGGAATAGTTCACCCAATAATACAACTCCTGTCCTCATTTAATCATACAAAGCCTTAAAGGGTTATTCCACCCAATAATGAAAATTAGTCCATGTTTTACTCACCCTCAAGGCATCCTAGATGTATATGACTTCTATCTTTCAGACGAATCCAATCAGAGTTACATTAAAAATTTTCTTTGCTCTTCCAAGCTTGACATGGGTGGGTGTTTTTGTTCAACAGTCCAAAAGAAGTCAAATAAAGCGCATCCATCCATATTAAAACGTGCCTCACACAGCTCGGGGGGGTGAATAAAGGCCTCCTGTATCAAATCAATGTGTTTTTGTAAGACAAATATCCATATTTCAAATGTTATAAACACCTTTCTTTCACTCCTGCTAACTGTCGTAGGCGGAAGCCATTCTGGCAGATGACGTAGGACGTATGCGCAGCACACGCGTCGGTGATTAGCGACGAACGCGGAAGCGCAATGGAGAGAGACCAAAACAAAACGCCGGTCATGAATTAGAAGTACAAAACGAGGATTTGTTAAGAAAAATGTCAGAGGATTTCGATATAAGCCAAGAGGAGACTGGTTTTCTTTTGCTCCTGTAAACAAACGTTGGTTTTCGCGAGACTCGCACGCGCTAAGACAGTCTGTCATGAACGTGCGTACAACAGTTAGCGGAAGTTACACAAAACTGTTTATATCGTTTTAAATAAGAATATTTTTTTTTACAAAAAATTATTTACCATTATTTACCCCCTGTAGCCGTGTGAGGCACGTTTTAATATAGATAGATGCGCTTTATTTGACTACTTTTGGACTGTTGAACAAAAACACCCACCCATGCCATTATAAAGCTTGGAAGAGCAAGAAAAATTTAAAATATAACTCTGATTGGATTCGTCTGAAAGAAGAAAGTCATATACACCTAGCATGCCTTGAGGGTGAGTAAAACATGGCCTAATCTTCAGTTTTTGGGTGAACTAACCCTTTAATACAAAACAAAACCAATATACATTACATATAATATTAAAATAATAAAACATTACTATTTAAAGCAGTTATTTTAACTTGTAATACTATTTCACTATATTAGTGTTTTGCTGTATTTTTGAGCACATAAATGCAGTCATGATGCTTTAAAATTATTTTGTTTTATTTTATTTTTACACATTTATTTGTCAGCTTTAGGTGTACTATCACTTTAAGCGTAGGCAAACAAACTGAAAACACTCATTAGATGGCGAGCAGTAAAGCGGAAAGAAAGTCATGAATCATCTTATTTGTAATTGGAAGCGGTCCAGTGGAGGTCATGTTTATGATTAAACAGATGTTTGATGTTTGTTTATCAGCGGATGATATGAGGGTGAAGACTGGATCATTCACATTAAAACCGTACACTATTTTACAAACATTGCAGACATTTTTTTATTATTTGACTGTATATTAATTCCTCCCTAAGCTGAGACTGTACAGGATGTTAGACAAATTAAACAGACAAAAAGTACACAGACCCAACAAAAAGTACACATCCCAAACAAATGCAGAACAAATGAGAGAATCCTAAATGTGTGGAGAGTTTGCACAGTATGGGATGCGTGTTCTTCAGGATGGTGCTGTAGGATCATGGGAAGTGGACAGTGGGGAAGCGGGGAGGTTAAATCAACTGGATGGATGGAGTCTGGTGGAGATGAGGCATCTGAATCAGGTGAACAGTGGGACCTACTTGCATCGAGGTTTGTTAAGGGCAGTTATTGTGCATATTCCTTCATTCTGACAGTAGTAATCGCAGGGATTGGCCAGCTCATCGCACCGCTGGTTCTTGAACCCTGCCGTGCAGCTGCAAGACATCGCAGTGAGGTGAGCACAGTAAGAATTGAAATAAGTATGAAGAACTGGGAAGAAATGTGCATGATCTGTAGAGTAGCAGCAAGTGTCTGGTGTGTATTTCTTGCTTATAGTTTCAGGATCCTTTATGTTTTATGACCATGAAATTAAATCAACAATACACATTTCAAAAATATTCACTCCAGGGGTTCTAGGATTCAGGGTTCCCACACTTGTTCGCCCATGAATTTCCATGACTTTTCAATGATCTGTTCATGTTTACTGTAAAAAAATCTATTTTTAAGAAATCATTTTACAAAGATTGCAGGGTGGGTTTCAATTGATTTTGTATGTCTGAAAGACTTTTAATAGACTTTTAATTATCAAATTTTTCTCTACATATGAGCAAGGTATAGCTGATTAAATATTTCAGAACATATTCACTAAGAAAACTGAATAATGACTCAAAACTCCCCCTTCCAGATTTTTCCATAACCCCTAATGATTTTCAAATCATGGGGCTGCAGACTAAAATCTTGTTGTCTCCTGCTTTTTTTTATATGAAACAATCCAAACTGTCAGAGTATGTATAACACATCCAGATGCATTTTATTTTGTTATTTCACTGGAACGGAGAGTGAGCCAAAGAAGAGCGATAGTGAAGTGAACCTGTGCCTGAGCCAGTCTCAGGTTTTGATGTTGACAGATGAGTTAATCTCATATCTAGCGAAAAAAATTGGAAATGTGTTGTGAATTTTCAAGTTGGCAGAAACAATACCTTGTAAAATATATCAAAATGGTCTTCAAAATAAAGCTGTTTTGTTCAGTGTAGACCCCAATAAATCATTAGAGAGAAATGCTGATGTTAATGATTTCCTATACTTTGCGACTCTTGCCATAAAATAATATAATTTATTTGTAATTATCATTTCTTTTAAGAAATCATTGGCAGGCAACTTAATTGGTGATCTGTTTGCATTCTGGAGAATATTCTGTTGAAACATGCTTTGTTATGTTTCCTTCTTGTCAGGTTGTCTGAGCATCTCAAAGGTAAATAGGTGTGCTTTGAAGGAAAGAACTTTGCCTTTCCAAGAATATATGACTCTAGGCTTTGATAAGGAATTCATTTACATTATATTCAATCTTCTTTCCAGATGCAGATCCATCATTCCATACATTTCCTGTGACTCAGAGCCAATGAATGAAACACATTATCGGAACCTCACAATAAAAAAACCCTGAGAGATAATTTGCATAGAAATTGATTCCATTCTCTCGATTATGGCAGTCATTGCCACAAATGCCATATAAACGGCTCAGAACATTTCACAATTTTCAAAACAACTATTTACAATCTGTTTAAGTTTGGAGACTAAATGAAGCTGGTGATAATTTAATGCTTGCTAACCACCACGCTTCAGAAAGCATCCGTTTTACATGCCTTCTGTCACAATCTGTGTTTGCAGCTAATCAAATCTGATGGGAAGGAGAAGATTAATGACTGTAAATATCTTGCATATGACAAAATGTTCAGGGGGTGCAAATAGTACGGGAGATCATTAATAATCATGTCTCTCTAACTATTTATTTGGGTCTTTACAAATGCACACAACAAAGTAATAGCAAATCAAGAAAACGGGACCTTATGATCCACAGAGATTCTTTAAAGCAGGGCTTAACAGTATGGGCATTTCACAGGCATTTACAATTAAAAATTATTGTGGAAAATTATGAGTGCGCTGGTGTGTATAACATCCCACACTCAATTGGCAACTCGTTGATTATAATGGGAGTGACTTAGTTTTGCATCAGGCTGCGGCTTATTCAGCGTATGTTATATGCAATATGCAACACTGCAAATCACTGCTTTTTCAGGCCTTACTAGATGTTTATAATTGATTTTCTGAACTCTGAAGTAATTATAAATTCAGAATTTATCTTATATTGTGATGTAGTTAAGTAAATGATAAATAAATAAACAAACAAACAAATAAATAAGACTCTGACTTAAAATATTAATTAAACAAATGATACTATAAAAAAAGACAACTGAAAATGTAAATTAAAAAAATGATAGAACAAATTTAAATGTGGATCCCTGCAAAGCCAAGAATAAATACATGAGAAACTGTGGTATTGAAACTGCTTTTCAGGCCTTATCAGCTTTTTATATTGTATCTCAATTGTGGTGGTCAAAATTGTTAGAACACCTGACAGATCTGAAAATTTTGACCTTTTTTGCCTCCAAAACACGATTTCATTTCATAATGTTCATGAAACATGCAGATGGTTGCTCTGAGCACAACAAATATCAGATGAAGTGAGTCATACTGTTTTTATCCACTTTGAACTTTTAATATTTGGTATGTCCACCTTTTGCAGCAATTACAGCAGTACATATCTCTGACATAGTGTCAATATATTGCCTGAGAACTTCAACACTATTGTTATCCCATGCCTTCTGCAACTCAAGCCAAAGGCGTTCCTTTGAATGTACAATAGATCTGTCCAGTTTATTTTCCAACTCGCCCCAAATTTTTTGGGTTGAGATCTGGACTTTGAGGGGGCCAGTCCATCATTTTCAATGTTCCAGCAGATTCCTTCCATCACAGGTAGTTCCGGCAATAGTTTATTTTATGGGTATTGTAATGGCCCATTCAACAAAAACAACTGAAAACTGAAACCTCTTAAATATGCCAAGTGTTGTAATAATTTTGGCCACCACTGTGTGTATATATATATATATATATATATATATGAACATTTTTTTTACTGGTCATATCTGGCAGCTTTGTGGCCTTACTACCTCTAAACACATGGTGCTCAGCAAGGGCCCCTGCTTTCACCTGTTCCTGATCTTGCAATGGAATAGCGAATTTAATCTTGGCAAAACAAATTGTCAGGGTTTCTAAATGTGTCCATTCCTGCCTGCCAAACCAAACAAAGCAGGACTCCAGCTGTTCTCAGGACTGTGTCCCAATATACACAAGTCCACAGGGTGGACATCCTTTTAGCAGGTCCTGCACAGTGTGAGCCTAACCTCATATTTATATATAAATATAAAAAAATATATAAATATATATATAAAAAAAATGCTGCACCTGACAACAAAACTTCATGTCCAAAGATGACAGCTCAAAAACCATTCATGATTTTACAGTATTAATCAAACTTTGACTTCAGACTTTATGAATTCAGTAATTTCAGCTATATGTTTAGCATTTCATTAGTGATAATTGATTTAAAAAAGGATACACAATTATACTATATATTATCAAAAGTTTGGGGTCAGTTTTTTTTTTTTTTTTGTATTCAGCATGAACACAATAAATTGATCATAAGTGACAGAATCTTTTGTAACATTATGAATGTCTTACTATTTCAAATAAATGCTATTAAAATTTCTATTCATCAACTCAACTCGAATGATTTGTGAGGGATCATGTGACACTGACGACTGGAGTAATGGCTGCTGAAAATTCAGCTTTGCCATCACAGGAATAAATTACATTTTAAGACATTAAAATAGAAAACAGTTATTTTAAATAGAAAAAATATGTCACAATATTCCTGTATTAATGTATTCCTGATCAAATAAATGCAGCCTTTGTGAGCATGCAAGATTTATTTCAGAAAAAAAAAAAAAAAAAATTCTGGCTCCAAACTTTCGAACAGTGGTGTATTTAGTAGGTTTGATGATTAAATCCACAAATTAAATCCGCAATATTAACAATAAACAAAAACATAATAAAGAAATAGCTTTCAGGCTCGATGTAATTTGATTTTTAACCAAATGTAGGCTTTTAGGCACACAAGAGCTTAGCCTTATTATTCCTCTGTGCTTTATAAGTCTGTCAAACTAAGTGCCAGTGTAGAGCCCCCCACTGAGGTAATTTTGGGCCCCATTGATGGGAAACTTATGAGTCTCTGACATCTGTACAACTTTTCTAAATGAATGGTAAGGCTTCCATGGTTATGCGCTGTGTGGGTCTAATAGCTGAGAATTGGAATGTGGACAAAAGGAGGCACTTAGTCATTCTTACTGGCAGAAGGGTAGGCTGGTGTCGGGGTCCAGATGACAGGTGCCTCCGTTATAGCAGTAGCCATCACACAACTGGCAGCTGGAGGCGATTCGACCACTGGTACAGCTGGCAGAACGACAACAAATTGGAAAAGCTAAAAATGTGGTTCTTGCATAAACCAAGGAGTCATTTCAGTGTGAACTTAATAAATAATAAATTCTATAAATTAGGCTTTGTATCATTATGAGCTGCTTTAATGTCACCGCAGTTGCTGGAACTTTATTATCCTGAATAGAATTATATTTTGCTGAATGTGCAGAAATAATGGCAGAATTGCTTCAGATGAGGAATGATTTCTGTGCCAATACAATCACCAAACCTAACCGTAAAAATAATGACTGTATTCGAACATGTTTGTAATATTAAAAGAATAAACAATTATTTAAAACTGTAATAATAATATTTCACATTATAACTGTTTTTAGTGTATTTTTGATTAAAAAAATAATGAATTATATTAAATAGACTTTGTATCATTATGAGCTACTTGAATGTCACCGGAGTTGCTGGAACTTTATTATCCTGAATAGAATTATATTTTGCTGAATGCGTAGAAATAAATGGCAGAAAAGCAATTCTGTACTTAATTTGCTTTAGATGAGGAATGATTTTCAAAGGCGAAGCGTGTAATATACAATCACCAAATAGAAATGCAAAAATAATAACTGTATGCAAATATGCTTGCAATATTAAAATAGAAAACATTTTTTAAATTGTAATAATATTTTGCATTATTACTGTTTTTACTGCATTTTTGATTAATTAAATTAATTAAATTTGCTTTAGATGAAGAATTATTTTAAAGGTGAAGTGTGTAATTTTCTGTGCCAACACAATCACCAAACAGAACTGTACAAACAATGACTGTATTCAAACATGTTTGCAATATTAAAATAGCAAACAATTATTTGAAATTGGAATAATATTTCACATTACTGCTGTTTTTACTGCATTTTTGATCAAAGAAATAAAGTATATGAATTAGGCTTTGTATCATTATGAGCTACTTGAATGTTACCAATTACTATCCTGAATAGAATTATACTTTTGCACAACATTAGTTCTGTACTTAATTTGCTTTAGATGGAAAATGATTTTTTTAATGCGAAGTGTTTAATAATACAATGCAATACAACCACTAAACTGAACTGTAAAAATAACAACTATTTTCAAATATGTTTGCCATCACATAAATCATTTTCAGAGATATTAAAAGCAACTAACTTGCAAGCCACATCTCCTGTATCTCCATTAATGATACATGGTGCTCCATGGCACCGTAGGCACTTGTCGACATCACACTTGATGCCTTCATAGCGAGGCGGGCACACGCATTCAACGTGTCCGGAGCTGGACAGTGTGCAGGCCTGGGAATGGACGCAGTGGTGATGACAGATGTCTGTCAGTGAAAAAAAAAAAAAGCACAAGATATGTCCTTAATTAAGATATGAGGGCACATTTCTTTCATATTATGCTCAAGTTTAATTAGAATTTTACAAAGCTTTAATGAGACTTAATTATCCGCAGCAAATATCTACTGGTCCTAAGATGAAAATGTGTCACCCCTTGGGTGCACAGCACTGAAAATGCATTACGGGTGCGCAGATTAAATGGTTTTGCAACAAATTATAATAACAAAGACTTTATAACCACAAATATTTTGTAAAAAAAAGCACAGAAACACCTCAAGGCTGTTACTGCAGCATTTAGAAAACCTCTTTGGGCACAGATTGTTCAAATACTAGCAAATGCCCTTTCGAGTCAAATACAATATTTGCTTTCATTGGGCCTTTTTTTGTTGCTGTTGCCAGCTGTGGAGAGAAAACTCAATTAAAAGGGCTCAGTGGTAGATGTAATCACCTGCCAAGAGAATCACTGACCTATTGAATTAAAATGCAGTTTGCTGACCATTTCTGCTTGGTACAAGCAATCTCTTACAATACTTACGATAAAGACAGCGGTCACCCGTGTACTCTGCCAAGCAGCGACACTCTGGCTGGTTTCCAAGGCTTACGTCACACGTGCCTCCATTCAGACAGTGATTATCACAGACCCGCCTCTCACAGTTAGGGCCAGTGAAGCCTGTCACGCAGCGGCAAGTAGGTTTCCCTAAGATCGGAGTAGACAGATGTGTCCATGTGAGCGTTTTATTCATGTTTTGTCCTTTTGGTTTTACTACCAAAAGTTGAGAGAATGTGAGCTGTTGGCAAAAGCTGGCAATTTCAGAACAGGCCATGAGAAATGTTATAATTTTACAGGAAGCAATTTATTTATACTTTGAGCTATACTGGAGTCTACAAGTACCATAAATTGACACCTGATGTAAAGCTGTCTGAAAACAGCTCTAACACCAACCAAATGAACCACGTTCTGCGGTACAAACTTGAACCGAAAGGTTTCGTGTAAAAGTGGCCTGAATAAAAAACAAAACAAAACAAAACCAAAAAACACTATGTAAATGAATGGAGTCATATAATTATGACAGGAAGGCACATTATTTTGGCCATAACACATAAACTTGTGGGAATGTCATTGCATGTTAAGGCCACGACATATTACTCTTGAAACCATGCTTAGGGAATGACATTTTTGTTTCTTAAGATCATGATTTCTTGTTGCTAGAACTACATTCTTTTATTGTGGCCACAAGTTTAATGTGTAAACAATCCTGTGTGACCATAACAATCTGGGAAATGGAAATAATAATTTACAAACACTTTTGGACAAATCAAGGTAGGACATGGCTCTATTCTATTCTATTCTATTCTATATTAGAATGATATAGTTAAATACTGTATAATATAGTTAAAAATAAACAGCATTGAGATCCTTTAAAAAGATATGCAGAGCCACATGCCGCATACATTGTAGTGCATGTGTTTAAATGTAATCACTAAACATTAAAAATCTGAGGTAAATTAGCTGTTTTTGTTTAGATTCAATAAACGGTGTTGAGTTTTGAGTTTTTACAATACGCCTCCCTCATGATATGACCTCAATAAAATATATAGTTCTACTTATAAGCAAAGCTTTCACTCAGTAACTATGCTCTTTTTAATAACACTGCACCCCACTCGACCATTAACAATCACCAGAGAAAATGAAGAAATGTATCAAACTTCAGAGGATTCTGATGTTAAGTATAATTGCTTTCTTACATGCCTCATCAGTCAGATGATTGATTATGATAGATGAAGCTGTAATATGACACTCTTGGCTAATTTTAATTGAGGTGCAGACACAAACACTCGACTGATTTTGTCATCAGCAATCCTTTGTAAGTTTCTACATTTGGGAACAAAGTGCTCAATTTCAAATGAATTCTTTATTAAAACAGATCAATTGCACATTAGCATGCAAACCAAGAGTCCATATGCTGCCTTGAATAATTTTAGAGAATAACCATTATTACTAGCACACACACACTGCCACACAGTTTTGTTAACAGATGTCTTTAAAATATTAATTTAGAAGAACTCCTCATCAAACTGCCGGGCACTCAACATTTCACAGTAGTTGCATGTAGAATGCATGTAATTTGATCACAAGTACTGAATATAAGACCATTTCAAATACTTCATTACTCAGACTGAGGCAAAGATTTCAATCATGTATTGAAATCTACACAAAGCTGTTTGAGAGTTTCTTACCAAGAGGTGAGCCAGTGCACGTGCCTCCGTTTAAGCAGTAATCTGTACAATGGTTGACTTCACAACGTTCCCCAGAGAAATTAGGCCAGCAGTAACAGCGCCAGTCTCCTTTTTCATTGGCCATGCAACGTCCTCCATTCTCACAGGCAGGTCGGCACAACTCACCTTTTCAATGTTGAAACAAATAAACATTTTTTTTTCATTGAATCTTCATGTTCTTTTGTACCCACAAAAACATGAAAAAAGTGAGCAGCCCTACAGTAAAGTGAGGCTTCAGACCTGAGACAATGGGGTCAATACAAGAGCCATTGACCAAGGTCTTCCCCTCTGGACAGGTGCAGCTGGCCCCGGATGGATTGAGCAAGCACATAAAATCGCAGGTCATCCGTAGACAGGGATTGGCCACTGAATACAAAAGAGATAAAGCATAAATTGAACTTGAGATGTACAATGACATTTAGATAAACTTAAATTTACATATATTCAATGAATAATCAATAGAATTAATACTAATAATAATTACCATAATTATTTTGATATAATTAAAATTAAAAAAATAATATAATTGAATTATATTAACACAATTTGAGAAATTTATGCAACATTTACACCCATTCTGGTATTTTTTCTTTAATTTCATAAATGTTGTCAATTTAATTGTGAAATTATTTAAGATGTTCATTGCTAGGAAAGTACAAAGAGATATATCGAAAAATTTGGTTCTAAATTTTATTCGCAGTGTTGTTGAAAACCTTCCCTACAAAATGAAAAAAAAAAACAAATCTTAAATCTTAACACAGCTTGTCGAACTGGCGGCTCAAAAGTCGCAGATTTGAAAGCTGTGGTTTAAAGATGCCAGCAGTATGAGGGAACATCTGTATCAATCTTCAGTGTTTTGCTGAGGACATCAAACCTAAACTTTTAGCTTTTGCTGGCAGTGCACAAGTCTCTCCACCAGGCTATATCTCTGACTTTAATGAGTCAGTGGGGACTGACTCAGCTGCCCAGACAACCAGATAACAAAGAGCAACCAAGACCAACAGCAGAGGAGGCCAGCTTCTGAGAAGACAGTATATTAGAGAGCCACAAATGCAATGCATGGGGAGGCAAATTAAATGGGTGTAACATTTTTAAAGAGTGTTATTTCTCTCAGTGAGATGCACAGAACACTAATGAAGAAACCATATGTTCACCTCAGGTTAAAAAAAAAAAACTAAAAACTTTTTTTGAGAAACTGTAGCTGTAAATACAACAACGCTTGTGATTCACAGTCAATTGAACTTGGATTACTGCTTTCATTTTAGACATATGAACAGGACACTGTAACAGTCTCAAAATACTCTGTATGCAACTGCCAAAGGATATCACTCTGACCTTTAAAACATTTCACAAAGAATTTTCTTTCAAAAATCCGGTAGAAGCAGCAAGCCTGAATCTAAAAAAAATATTCTCTTAGGATCCACAAAAATAACCCCTAAAAGAACCATTTCTTCATTCTCCAAGTTGTACAAGAAAGGAAAAGGCACTGAATAGAAAACGTTTAGAGAAAAAGTGTGCTCTTACCATCCTGCTGCTTGAAACGATGAGAGATCAGGACATTTGTTGTTTTTTCAAAACCCAAGTCAAGAGGTTCAATTGATTTTTTGCCATATTTCTGGATTCTGAAAACTTCATTTTTTAGTCCTGTTCCATAAATGTAATCCTCAAAAATGTCTATTCTGTATGGTTGTGATATTCCTGTGCAGACATGAGGTGAGGCAAAGACATTAGACAAACTGATTATTCTAAAACAATTTCAATGGATAACCATTTCAGGCAAATAAGATACAGCAACAAAGCAAAATACTATCAGATTCCCTTTTAACTGCTCTTCTCACCTTGCTTGCCATCGATTACCACCAATGGGTCTGAGCCATCGAAATGGACACTGCCAATGACAGAGAGCTCGGCATCGGCCCAATACACACGCTGGCTGAAGTAATCAATCGCCAACCCTACAGATAAATGACGGGAAGAGAGTTATTTCCATAATAAGATCTTGGCACAGAATGTTAAGAAACATCCCGTATTTAAACACTGACACAGCCATGTTGGCAGGGTTTACATTACTAAAGCATTACACAAAAGCAACAGCTCACAATAAACCTATTCAGGAAAAGAGAATAGGTTATTAATAACCATAACTGTAATGTGTTTCTAGACATGTAAGACGAGTTTCATTCATCTAGGTCATGTGAGACTGTAGTAGGACTGCGAAATGTTTTTAAATAGCATCAAACTGGTATAAACAGAACCTTGCTGTTTATGTCAATGTGGTGCTAAATTGAACTTTTTAAATAATTAAATAACCTTTAGGGAACCCCTGCTTCAAGGTGGACATATTCAGTACAAAAGCTTCAGATCTGTGTCCTTTTGCTCTTCCTGAAATAAACTCAGCAAAAGTTTGTCCCATATTTCTTGGAGTTAGCGTTGCTTGACTCATTATATTTTCTCTCTTGATTAAAGACTTGGATGTTGCATTTTTGTTCCTTTTCTAGAGATGATGGATTCCTAAAGCTGCACTGGAGGCGTAATATTGGCCCCTATAAAGGAGGCCATGGTTAAATGTAGCGGTACTTAGTGTTTCCCTGAGGAACACGCCTGCAGGTTTACCTAAAGGCATTGCATTTAAAACATTCCCTAAAACTCGGAAATGAGAAAAGTGCTGTGATATACCGAAACAGGATATGAGACCAACAAGCTTCTACATAAATGCATTCAGACATTGACCTCATCCCTTTAGAAAGAACCAAAACAACAACCTCTCATTTATCACACTCACAGAAAAACAGCTGAGGACTCAAAGGAAAGAGCTCATGCCCATCACACTGAGAAATACAAAAACATACCTGTGGGTCTCCTAAGGTTCTTATCCAGTAGCACTCTACGCATGGAGCCATCCATCGCACTCTCCTCTATGTGTGAGTGGTCGCCTATTACTGACCAATACATCATCCTGAAACAGGTAAAATCTTTACTTGACAGATGTGGCCATTAAGAATGCACATTTTTTCTTGTACTGTAGGCTATATAAAAATTATTTCAGAAATTCAGAATCCTAAATATTTTTACATTTAATTCGATTTTCAATTTCATATTTTGAAACATGCTCCTACCCTTTGACTGGATTGACAGTAATGGCGTAAGGCTCTCCTGCAATGTCAGTTATCAGACGGGTGCAGTTGGGTCCCTTGAGTTGTCCCACATTAATAGAGTATCTAAGCTTGGTCCAGTGAGCGGTGTAATAACTGAACCAGTGCATCCTAGAGTGGTCTGTCCAGTAGATATTTCCAGTCACCCAGTCAGCTGATACATCTCTGGGTCTGCGAAAGTCTGGACACTGCAAAAGTCACCCAGATAACAAGGTGATTCCCATGTGGGCCAAGACATCACAGAATATTTAAGATTGTATGATAACATGTTTAGGAGAAAATTATTCATAAAAAGTGAGGTCAAAACTTCAGAGACCGTTCTTGGATTTAGGGATAAAATGTAGTTAAAGTTTGGAGAAAGATATTATTTTGTTTAAATATTTAATAAAAACAAACAAATCACAGAGAAGATCAACATAAAATATACTTCTTGTCTGAAATCTCTTTGTTCATAAAATAGAAGTAAAATACAAAAATTATGGAGTTAGTATTGACTAATTTAAATTAAAGTGTACATACACAAACGTAGATTGAATGTTTTCAGTATTCTGCGGTCATTAAATGTACTATATACAGCTCAGAATTAATAAATTAATTAGGAGGAAGATTAAATTAACTTTGAAGGGGGAAAAAAATCCAGAAAATTCCTGAGAAAATATGATGATAGACTCCACACAAGACCCACAATACTTACTATGATGCCAACATTTGTTTTAGTTTGACTCCTGTTTAGGATATCTTTGTAAAAAAGTCCACCGGGATTAAACTGAGTAGCCCAGATAAACTTTTGTTGGTGATACAGAGCATCCATCCCAATGATGCGGGCATTTTCCTCGATGCGAGCATGTACTTTGTGTCCATGGCTCTGGTTAAATGGATACACAAAACTTCGGATTTCAGTGTCATTAGCTATGTAGAGCACTCGATCTTCTGGTCCTGCCCGTTGAGTTATTAATATGCAAAAAAAATGAAAAGTGGCTAAATTCCATTTAGGGTTTAAGACAACAGTTTGACAATTACAGATGCAGATAAATCATTCTAGCACAGCAATATGCATTCTAATCAAACAGTAATCTTTAATTCAAAGTCAGTACTTTAAAGGAAGACAATATACTGTATAGTTCTTAAAACATTCAGAAATATAAATGTACCACAGAATTACTAATGTTTGAAATGGCTTAAAATTTATATTTAGGCCCTGTGTGTTGAGGTATTGTATGAAAAGATCTAGACATTCACAGTCTAAAATAAAATCTCACAGTGAAGCTAAAGGTCAAGTCAATAGAAAATATAGATCCTTACCTTTTGCTATGCAGCTACCATTCATATCCTTATAATTTTTGTCACATGTACATTTGTATGATCCTTTTGTGTTGGTACAATAGTGAGAGCAAGTGCCAAAATTAAGACACTCATTGATTTCTGCAAAAAAAGAGAAGAACAGAAGTCAGATTTCGAGGAATAGTGCTTTCTGGAAACTGTGTGATGTTCTCTATGTGGCTTTTTTTCCACATGCTGAGTGCTTGAAAATAAAACGTCTGATGTGGTCTGCTCACTGCATCTCATTGATCTTTATTCCCAGAAAAAACACTATACGTGAGCGCACAATCCTTTAACTGGAAATGTTCTTTTATATGCAAAACATTTCAGTAGGTTAAGCATTTTCAGGAGCTTAAGCTCAACTTTGGCCTCCGGTTTGGTCTTACCACACAGAGAGGAAAACACTGATCCTTGACAAATTTTTGATCCTTGAAAAAAATCTAGCTATTTCCAGCCAGCTGTAGACCAGTTTACACAGATTTGATGAAAAGAACAGGCATTTTGAATCTCAAAAAATGTGTGGAAAACTTATAAAAATTATAAAATGACTGACAGGACAGGATTCATAGCAAAACCTTGCAACCAAATAGTGTACAATTTCTGCACCACTAGCAAGCAGAACTGACAAAATAATGAGTGTTTTCAAACAAAAAAGTGTCAAACATTCCCCAATCTACCATGTTTGGACAAACAGGTCCAAACTTGGGTCATTGGTTTGGGCCAGTTTCAAAGATATCTGCCCCGGATTGATTTTTAGAAGACATATTTACATTTTTGACAGCATATAAAGTAGCTTATCCTGCTGTGTGTAATGTTTTTATGTGAAATTATTTAATTAAAATTAAGAATAAATACATTCATTTAATAAATGGATTAAAATAAATCCTCAATCTTATTAATTACATACATACACTGTTACCAATACATTTAAACATCAACTCATATTTTATGTGCTAAAGGGCATAAGTAGGTCTAAAACAACATAATAACTATATCCCATTGATATATCAGATATATATAAAAATAGAGGAATTCTTGTCCAACCATTTTAATTTTCTAGGGAATTTCAAACACATTCATTTCTAAACCTTGTTGAGCTAATGTTGTTCTGCAAAGACTGCAGTTCTGTTTGGTGCGCCACAGGTATGGCAGAAATTGCACATTTCACCTTTAAATTGAAAGTCTAAATCCACATTCCCCCCTCAGATAAAGCAGTGAATCATTTTTCTGAACGCTAACAGAATCAGGGAAGATAGTCTGACAGTACCTTCACACTTTCTGCTTCTGAGATTTCTCTGAAAGCCAGGTTTGCAGTGGCAAATTGCATTTGTGTTTGTATGATTGCACACTGCATCCTCCCCACATGGATTCATCCTCTTTCCACATATGTCTCCATTTGAAGCTGGAATGAGAGAGAGAGAGAGAGAGAGAGAGAGCGAGAGAGAGAGCTTTGAAGTGACATACTTTATACTTGCACCCAACTGTCACAGTGCATGATGGAATTTGTTTTTGTCTTTTGATGCTTGGTCATAGCCAACAAATAAAAAATGTATAAGAAAAAACTCATCTGGAAGATAAGCCTGAATGATATTGATATAACAATTCCAGACATACAACACACGTTTCCATGTAAACCACCAAGAATGCCTTTAATCTGACAATATTGCTTGTTTTGCGACAGATTAATCTGAGAGATTTGGTATTGCATGCAATTTAGTACACATACAAGCCTTGCAGTCCTGTTCATCTGATCCTCCATCTCCACAGTCATCAAACAGGTCGCACTGCAGTTGTGCGGGTATACATTTACGATTACTACAGGTAAACTCTGCCTTCCCACAGGGCTTGGGCCTAGATGACACAGGCTCTGATTTGGGCCCCATAGAAAAGAAGAAAAGACACATCCATTTCAATCCAAACTTTAGGTGGCACCTTATTCATCACCACCCAAAGAGTCTTCAATCAAATTTACTGTGATCATGCGAGTGATTAATGAGCACTACGTATCCGAACGACCTCAGGAACTGCTAGCAAAACAATAAAATCACTCAAATCTAGACTAGATCCTTTATTTGTCAATTAAAAAAACGTATGGCACAAAAGATGGATTTCCCATTGTGCTGGTGAGGATAAAGGTATCATCAGAGACTTGTGAATGAGCCTACCACATTCATCTTCATCTGAGTTGTCCCCACAGTTATCCACATTGTTACAGATCTGATCAAGCCGTAGACACACTCTGTCATCTCTGCAGCGATATGGCCTTGCTGGAGGACAAGGTAGTTTGGCTATAGAAATGAAAACAAAATGTTACAGTATAGAGTATGTGCAGATTTTTCTGCTTTGTAATGCAATTGTAATGCAATTGACTGCTTCATATACTGTATATATATATATATATATATATATATACAGTCTGTATGTACAGTATGTATGTATGTATACATGTACTGTATGTATGTAATTTTTTACTATATATATATATATATATATATAGTAAAAAATTTGGAAACATGATTTTTAAATGTTTTTAACGAAGTCTCTCACCAACGTTCCATTTATTTGATAAAAAAAACATTAACATTGTAAAATATTATTACAATTTTAAATAACCATTTTCTATGTGAATATATTTTAAAATCTAATTTATTCCTGTTATTCAAAGTTGAATTTTTAGCATCACTGCTCCAGTCTTCAGTGTCACATAATCCTTTGGAAATCATTCTAAAATATAAATATTTTAGAACTATTTTGACAATTACCCTTATGTTGGAACCTGGAACCACTAGTATAAGTGATGTATTTCATTTGTAATTCAGCCTGTGACCCTTACATACAAACGGAGTTTAACATCAGAAAACTCAAATTAAAGAGTTTTGCCCAGCAACACAAGCCTTTCAATTCTGAATCAGAGTTCAGCAAGCAAGAAGCGCCACAGTAGGTCATGCAATTCCACTGGGAGAGATGAATATCCTACCGCACATCTCGGAGTCTTCATCAGAGTTGTCTCCGCAGTCGTCCTCACCATCACACACCCACACATGCAGCTTACACAGGGTGTTGTTGCAGATGAACTCGTCAGGGCGACAGAAGGAAGCATCTGAATAAACAACATCAAACTGGTTTTAAACTGCAACACATGGATATTTTGCTGAATTAAACAGGGTTATGACAACCTGAATGAATACATTCATAGTCGAAGCTATGAAAACTGCCTCAGAAACCAGTTATATTAATTCACAAATTTAGTACCAATGTCATGTATCTATCAATATAAAAGATTCCTAAAGTTTTTAAGTACAGTTGCTGGTTAGTGGTTAGTCCTCATACCATGACCACAGTTCTCCTCATCGCTGTGATCCACACAATCGAACACGTCATCGCAGCGCCATCGTTTAGGGATGCAGTGAGCATGGTTTTTGCACAGAAACTCATCTTCTCTGCACTCCTTGACACAGTCCATCTGGTGTGAGAACAACAACGAAAGCCCAAAATACTTTCAAGAGGAAGACTTTGCTGCACTGGTGAAGTAAAGAACATCTCTGTTTCCATGGAGTCAAGCATGAGTCCAATACACAAGATGTTCAAAAAATTTAATGTTTCAAATGCGATGCATGTTTATCTCACAGTTAATTAAAAACAATATGCCATCATGTTATTGCTTGTGTGATGCACATATCATCAAATACGAGCTTCTGAACTCACATATGATATCTTGAACTAGTGATCTATGTAATGTATGTCTTTAGTTTAGCATCTTTTGATTACTGTATCTGATTAAATGAATAATTCCAGTGTGGAGTTCAAAATCCATCTGAAAACAGTTTCAGTCGTGGCTAGTTTAGCTGATTAATTAGCTGCTGGTGCTAAGGTCAGTTTGTGAGACCATCACCTAGTTAAAGCTGGTAAGTACACTGTTAGACTTTTTATTGTATTTTTGCGGTAACTTACTGGCAGCACTATTGCCAGTACATTACTGTAACTACCCCTTTACAGTAGCTTATCGCAAGTTCATTTTACAGTATAATGCCCTTACCGCAATTTCATTTTACAATATGATGGCCTTACCGCAATTTCATTTTACATTAAAATACCCTTACCACAACTTAATTTTACAGTACTATATCCTTATATCCTTACTGTAACTTAGTTTTACAGTATAATAATATTACTGTAATTTTACTGTAATTTATTTGATAAAACCTTTGAATATTTTACATGAATCCCATTTAATTTAATAAATTCCAAATAAGGGGCCTGAGTCCATGTACAACAGTATATTTTTTATTCACTGTCACTATTAAATACATCCATTACTTACTTATTTATTGTGCTTTATTCTGGAACATTACAAAAAAAAAATAGAGAACTGAATTCATAACAACAAATCAAAGCAGAGATCATGACAATATTGCAACAAAAATAAATATGGCAACAAGCATCCCAGTTGGACAGTAAAGTACCGCAAATTCCCATATAGAGTAAATTACTGTAAATGGCATTAAAATACCCATAATTCAGTGCATATTACAGTAGTTAACGTAAAACATATATATGGTAGTTTACTGGGCTTTTTTGTGGTAAGTAACTGTAAAATTACAGCAAAGTCTAACAGTGTAGGGAACCTATGAAATTGTAATTTACGTTCTTAAAACATATTCCTGGTATTATTGTGCACAATTTATCAGCGCAAGTTATGCCAAAATTCTTCAGTGAAATTTAATAACTTGCTCTGCTGCTGATCTACTTTTCTTTTTAGCTCAATTCCTTTTTTTTCGTGTTTCAATCAGAAATATTTCAGATTATGGATGCAGAATGGGTTTTGAATGTTTTTTCTTGTTGATTTTCAGCTTGAACTGACTTACCAGTTTGTCCACTTTTATCTGCTGTGATCTGTTTTTATTTCCAGAGAGGTTTTATAGTGGTTAGTTGTATCCTTGTTAAATCTTTTCCCAATATATCTACTTGTACATGTCTTTGTTTTTGTTTCACGACTGCACTTGTGCACAGTTTCTGAGAGAGGAGAGCTTGATGTAAGGTGAGAAGGTCTTGCTAGAGGACTGACCTCATCAGAACTGTCCAGACAGTTGTCATGTCCATCACACCTCAGGCTGGCAGACACACAACCTCCGCTGGCGCACACATACTCATTTAGAGAGCAGGAAGGAAGCACTGCAAAACAGATGACGGGTAAAAATCCACCCTCACATACAGATACAAACACAACTGATGTGTAAAGGAAGGGTGAGGCAAGATGTGTCAGTGGTTAAGCTGTGTCACCCATCTTAATCTAATATTTTTTTGCACGTCTATGTACATTTTCAGTATTGCAAGGAAAAGGATTTGTCAAAACCAGTTTATCCAGGTCTAAAATATATATCAAACATGATAAAGAATTGCAAACGTATTAACATTAAAAAATTATTTGGCTAAAGGTTAGTCATAATTTTTTACATTTTTCTAAAATTGTAGCTGTAGAGTAAACAGCACCAGATTTCATAGCAACAAATAGTGAGCTTATATTCAAAATAGAAATACTATTATAAAATGTTAAAAACTGTTTTACTAAATTCAGATTTGATTAATGTGCAAAAAAAAAAAAAGATTTCGGAATTGGAATGTGACACGTCTTCATTCAAAAAGCAAAATGCACATAAAATATTGAGGCATCTAAATAAGTTCTTAGGTTAAATTAAACTTTAACTAAGGAGTAAACACACAAGAGAGCTGACTAAGGCACTTGTGTTTATAATGCACAACATTTCTGAAAGACAAAAAGTGAGCTACAGCATTTGAACTTATCAGACAATGTAATCATAAAACATTTAAAGCTGAAATTTTGTTTACACACCGTCTCCCATCCCAGGTTAATGTGCAGAGACAACCATAAGTAAGTCTTTTATAGTTTTTATTGCAAACATATTTGGTTCTCACCAGCTATGACAAAATGTTTGAGAATCTCAAGCATTGGTGAATTGGTGTGAGTTTGAAGGGGAATGTTTAGGGAAATAATTGGAAAGGTATGAATGTTTGGTAATGTTAGTGGTGCAGAAATGATACACTTCAGCTCTAAAGACCCCCAAATCTGATAAAGTTACCTGTTCCGAGGCAATTTCTCTCATCTTCCCCTGTCTTACAGTCTTCCTGGCCATCGCACAACCATTTGCGGGAGATGCAGAGATTGTTGTGGCATTGAAATTGATCCTCTGTACAGTGAGTCTCGCAATCCTTCTGAAAATGCACAAAGCAAGGGGAAACTTACTACAGTGTCGTCTCAAACTTCAGTTTGTATCGTTTTTATTATTTTCGGTCTCGTCACTTTAATACTCTGGGAGGCAGTAAGGAGAGAATTTAAAGTTTTGTAAATCACATTTGAAAAATATCCACTGTCTTTCATGACTTGCTGATGAAGCCATAAAAGTATGAAGACTAATGTTAAGATTAAACAGCTTTGAGATAAATGGCTCAAAGGGAATGTCTGGGAAAAGAAGACAACTGCTGTGATGTCCTCGAATGACATCTAGCATTCACTGACCTCATCTGAATTATCAGCACAGTCATAGTCACCATCGCAACGGAAGCGTGCTGAGATACAGTCCCCACTGATGCAGGCAAAATCCTTATGATTACAGGTCACTGGCTCTGCAGAGAGGAGAGCAGAATAAGACAGCTAAAGCGGCACAGCTACCCTGACCGTGCCCTGTGAAGCTGCCTGCATTGAAAACACTGAAGTAAACCTTTGCAGAGGACAGCAGTGAGGTAGCAATAGCAAATCAAAACTGCTAAAGTGGCCTCGCATGAGTTGACATTGTATCATCTGTTACCAAGGCTCCTGAAAGTTTGCCAAGAACTTAAAAGGAGCTATTTGCAGACTAATCAGCAATTAGAATGTCTAAAAGGGCTGTTCTCGAAGAGAGTCCACAGGCTCTAATTGCTGTAAAAACATGTTGGGTGGTTCGAAAAACCTGTTAATATAAACTGTTTGAAATTGGTTGTTGATTTAACAACATAATGTACGAAAAAAGGCCATTAAAGCAAAGGCATTTTGGACATTATACATGCTCATTATTTACTCTGGCTCCTGTCATTTCAAACCCATATGCTTGTATTTTTAGACAATAATTTTTAAACTAAGAAAAAACAAATCTGCATATAGTTTTATTCACAAATTTGGAGTTTCTAAAAGAAGTCTCTTATGCTCACCAAGACCGCATTTATTTGATAAAAAATATAGTAAAAACAGCAACATTATGAAGTAAATACAATTTAAAATTTTTATTTTTTATTATTTATAAAATATTAAATTATTTGTTTTATGCTGAAATTTCAGCAGGCATTACTTCAGTATTCAGTGTCACAAGATCCTTCGGAAATCATTATAATATGCTGATTTAGTGCTAAAATAATTTATTATTAATTCAATTCAATTCAAGTTTATTTGAATAGCGCTTTTTACGATACAAATCGTTGCAAAGCAACTTTACAGAAAATTAAGTTTCTACAATATATTTAGTAGTAGCTTATCAGTGGTGACTGTCAGTTTATGTACATATGGCAGAAACGTACGGAAAAATCAATTAAAGACGTAATCAAATATTATTATTATTAATGTTGAAAACAGTTGTGCAGCTTAATATTGTTGCAGCTAGAAACTGGAGGAGATCTGCAGGATGTGAATGCTACTTAATATTTTTTCTTCCAAAATTAAATAATTGGCTCTTTTTATTTGGCAAAACACCATTGTATCATAATAG